TACATACATACATACATACATACATACATACATACATACATACATACGCACACACATATATTTAACATAATATTAAAAATTCTTATTTATTTCCTCTGATAATGTCTAAGCTAAATTACTAAACCCTATCTCTGAAAGAGGAAGTAATTCAGTTTAATCATTTAGAGAAAAAATCTTTTGATATTTTTTTTCACCGTTTCACTATATAATTACCATTATTGGTCGATATTCATGCATATGTCTATACCTAATCAATATTGTTTGTGTCCATACTGTACAGTCTACAGTCAGACTAAATACTTTCTATTGATCTATGTACTGTTTAAGATACGATTTCTTGCCAATATTTCAGGAAACAATAACTTGAGTTGAGTGTGCGTTTTGCACACTCAGCAGGACTAGAAACAGAGATAACAACAGTTCCGTTCCGGGGGCGACTTGACTTCCCGGTGTTTGCACCTGCACTGCAGCATGAAACCACCGGGTCTCCTCGTTCCCTCTATGGTTCCCTCTATGGTTCCCTCTACGGTTCCCTCTGTCTTCCTTCTCCTTACAGCCAATGGCTGCACCGACGGTCCCCTCCTACCCGGCGGCTTCTTTTTTTTTTTTTTTTTTTTTGACCAAGTTGAAGGCGGGCAGGACCAGGACAGCCCGTCCGTCGACGTCAGAGGCGGCTTCGTTATTTAAACTTGAATCAGGAGCGGAGGAGGAAAGTTTTCGGAGCCGGGACGGCGTTGCCTAGCAGCTGGAGAGAGGACTCTAGTTCACGTTGCCTATATATTTTTTCTACCCCTCAACCCCAGGAGCCGCGGACTCTCTCGTCTTATTTTTTTTTCGTCCTCTCTTGTCATATTCCAGTTTTGTATTTCGCTGTCTTCGCACCAAACATGCCACAGACCGTGACGCTGAGGGGACCCTCTCCGTGGGGCTTTCGACTGGTCGGAGGACGGGATTTCAGCACACCGTTAACTATCTCCAGGGTAGGTAGCAACTTTCCAGCCTCGGAGTCCATTCATTGCGCCGGGCGGGACAAACGCTTGGCTTTGAAAGCTGGAATACAGACAGACTGTAATTAAATAAGATATGTTTTATTTTATTTAAAAAAAAAAATTTTTTGTCGAAAACAAACACACAAACCGGTTCGATACCCTAAGAGCGGGCGTGCGGTGCCGTCTATTTCCCGGAGGCTTTTTACCGTTCAGCAGCTGACAGGCGCATCAGGTCTACTGTACCGAACCGTTTCCCCTGCCTCGGGAGGGGGGGGGGAGGACTCCACTGTAATGGGAATACCTTTGGAAAGAAGTTAAATTAGAATTAAAAAAGTATGCCAACATTTTACCCTACCTGGAAAATAATTTAAAAAGCACATTTCATAAACGAATAACGCAGCTACAGTATCGAGTTGGATCACGTGACCCGGAGAGGCTATTATGACCCTTAAACTTAAGAATAGGTCTGGAAAAAGGAATTGACAGTCATGGTTATTGAAGTGGAGCCCCATTTTTGGAAAACATTGATTTGAAAAAAAGTGGTATAGCATACAGAATAAAGTCAGAAGAAAGTGCCAAGATGATGAGCAGAGCTTGGTGAACTTCCCTGACCCTCACAATATGGGCCAGGAAGCCAGTGTGGATCTGCCAGTAGCCATCAGCTCATCCCAAGCAGGACAAACACAGCCTGGCCTGGCTGCAGGGCTCACAGCAAGGACAGATGGAGGAGGATAGGGGGGAAGGAGGGGGGGGGGGGTTGTCTGACATTTGTTTTTCATCAGAGCTCCTTGGTGCTGCTGAGGGATTCCAGGTGTTGTACTCAGCTGTGCGACCAGGCCCAAATGGGCCATTTAACTACAGGGCACTGGCACTTTAAACCAGAGGTGTCGTTTCTACATTTACAGCTGGCGATTAACGTCTTTTGAGAGGGCTGGAGGACCCCGTAGGTCACTCGAGGGCACTCTGTTAAATAGATGGAGAGGGGGAAAAAAAAAAGGTGTGACGCTGCTTTGACTAGAGGTGTGTGCAAGTCTTGACGGATACATGTCTGCAGGTTTAACGGTTTCATCACTCTCGCTTCGTCGAGATTCCTTGCAAACTTGGCACCTTCCGCTGTGTAAATCACGATGTGAGGCAGCTGATTTTGACATCCAGAAACCAACACGCATGACGTCAACGCTCCCTGTAATGCTGTTTTTTTCCCCGTTTTGGTTTGAATCCATGACAAAAGCTGCAGGCTTTTTTGTGATGCAGATGGACTGTAAATTCCAAATGTTTCTCGTGCAGCAGCGCAGTGTCATGTCAGGCGAGTTTCTCACCTGCTCATGTTTGCATATTTGCATGAAAGCCAAAATGAGAAGAATGGCATGCACTGCGGAATCTTCTGCTTTCAGTGGGCGTTGTATAACTTATACGTGGTGTTATTGCTGAAATGAATGGCATTCTACTTCAAACAGTTTCATAGAAAGGAAGGAAAAAAAAAAAAAAAAAAAAAAAAACTGGAAGGGCTGCTTGCAAGAGTGAATGTGGGATTTCTTCTTAATTCCCAAATGTTGGCCTTTAAATTAAATGGGGAAGCAGCTGTTGTGATGCAGGCATATTTAGCAAAATGTGTAATGTCAGAGGCATAACACTCAGCGTGTTGGCAGCAAATCCCTGGATTACACTCCCTCCTAAATACTTCTTCTTCACTCTCCACCAGACGTTGCAGATAACGTCAGGCTTACATTGCAGAATGTTTTACTGTCGGGACCGGGTAATTGTTTAATCCTGGAGTTTTATATTTGACTTTACGAGCCGATCAATCAAACGCAAGGAGAAGTCATAAAAAAAGAAACAAAAAAACAAAACAATCCTTTTGCTTTACGTCATGAGAGCTTGCCGAGTTCTGAATTAGACGCCTGATGTGATTTATCGACGCCGATATGAAGGAGTATCTCCTGAGCTCACAATCCATCACGAGCTTGTTACTTCTCGCTGCGTGGTGCAAAACCTAGGACTGCAATTCAGATGTGTTGAATGGTGAGGCGGAAAGAGATTCATAGAGGGAGAGGAAGATCCCGTCATAGAGGGGTAGTTTATGTCCACCCGCATCTTAAACATGCCTTTAGGGGGCATTTTAACAATAAGGAGCCCGAAAAGGTAGCGGTGAGCCTGCTGGCTATCTTGGGGAGAGGGAAAATAAAGGCTTAATGGAGGACTGACATATTTCCATCTTTGATTTGCAGAAGCGATAAATATTTCCCTCCCGTGTAAAGCGCGGAATGCCAAGAAGCACCTGCAGTTGGAGAAGGAAAGCTGTAAATACCACAAAACCAGTTCTCATGCCATCATCCGGCTGCTCACCTTAGGTGTTAATGTTTTCAGGATAGGGCCGCCGATTCCCTGCCAACCCATTAAAAACCCCAACCTGAAACCTCACGAGATGGTTGGACTCTGTGTGTGTGTGTGTGTGTGTGTGTGTGTGTGTGTGTGTGTGTGTGCGTATGACAAAACACTAAGAGCTAGAGAAGCAGCAGCGCATAAATCACTGACATGGCTGGCGAAGCATTTAGAGTGACGGTGTGGAATGTGGCCGATGTGGGATAAGTGGCATTTGCACATCCATGTGGCGCTGACTTGCAGGCAGAAGGTGACGCAGGACGCTTGTCCCTTCTGCCAACTGGCAAACAGTCGTTCACCGGGAAGGAATTGGCACGTCATCGTTGGGTAAATAGTGATTCATTCAGGCAGTGTCCAGCATCCCCTCTGACACCTTTATGACCATCCTACTGTGTGGCCACTGTTAGATGGAGCCCTTAAATGGACAGTGAATCTCTTCTGCTGTGCATGGACGGGCTGCAGCCATCAGACTTTAACCTGGAACAAATATTCAATTTTTTTTTTTTTTTAGTGATCTATTTAATCTTAGTTATTTTTTTGTGTGTGATGGCAACATTTCTTATTTAGAATCCTTACCTATTTAAATCCTTGATATCAATTTTACAGCAGTTTTTTTTTTTTCATTTTCCATTTATGAATGCACGACTGTGTGCATTACCTAATGTCAGAGTAGAGTTCCTCCCCGGGCCAAGAAAGCTGGTAAAATACCGCCAGGTTTTGTGTTATTCCCTCTGGCTTATTGGCTAAATCCTCCTATTATTACAGCGTTTTAGTCACAGTGCTGTCACAATGACGGATGACAGACACGACTCATTTAGAACCGGCTTTGAACGCACACACAGTTCCGTCATGATCCAAACTGTC